CGACGTGGCGACCCCTCCCTCCTGGCCCGGCCGTCGGGCCGGCCCGCGCGCTCCGAAGTTGGGCTAAGAAAGTTGGCGGCGGGGCGGGGCGGCACACAGCTGGCGGAGGAAGGGGTTAAGTTTCGGGAAGCCACCGGATGACGTTGCCGGGCCGGAGTCCGGGCCGGAGGGGGTGGGGGGGGTGGCGGAAGGCGGTGGGCAGGCCTGGGACGAGGGCTGAGACGGGATGGGCGACGCGGGACCCAGAGCCCGGGGGCTGCGGGCCGCGGCCACCGGACACGTCGGCGGCCCCGACGGGGCGGGCGGGGGCCACGGGGTTCGCCGCGGGTGCAGTCCGGGACTGGCCTTAGCAACTTCCCGGAGTGCGGGATGAGGCTCCCTGCTCCCCCTGGCGGCGGGGCCGCAGCACCGTTTCCCGGCGGGGCCGCGAGGAGCCCGGGCGCGAGGGTGCCAGACCCGGCCAGAGTTGGGGCCACCCTGGGTCCTGCCTGGCCTCTCCCTCCCGCGGCCACGATGAATGGACCGGTGGTGCCAGGCCCAGGCGGAAGCAGACACCTCCGGCCCGGCCGGCCAAGCACGCTGGCACTGGGCCCGTCATCTGTCCCGGCCCGCCAGGCTTCCCGGCTGTGCCCAGGGCAGGGAGGCCAGCCGGCCCGCGCTTCCAGCGGTACGGGATGCTTCAGGGGCTTCTTCCCGTACTGTAAGCCACCAGCTGTAGATCTGTTAGTGTCACTCTTCGTGGACGGTAGTTAACCAGGTGGTTTCGCTCAGAGGTTTACCATTTCCCCACCTGAAAAAACAGGGTTCCTGCTTGTCTGTTTGAGAGACAGCGGTGGAGACCTAGCACATGTAGGGAGTAGCCAACTAGTATTGATTGTTCTTGTGGGATGTGTGTTTAGGGACGTGGGAGAACCAGAGAACAAGGAGGAGCCTGGCTCACACTCTGGACCATGCAGGGCTGCAGAAGTCACACACCTGGATTCCACCCCCTTGAACACCTGAGGCTCATGTCTCCTGACCTCTGAACCTGGGTTTCCTTATCTCTGGCCTGGAGATAGTACCACCCACTCACCACTGGGGTCGGGGAACCGGGCAGGAAGTGTGGGATCTTGTGTAAAACAGAGAGCAGTTTGGCAATAGCTCTTGAGGTCAGAGTTCAGGACTGGGAAACACCAAGGAAATGAAACTTTGGAGGATCCTGGAGCCTCCCACATCTGTATTTGCTAAGCTAGTCGTTCATTTGCTTAAAGCCTTCTGGTGGGGGTGGCGGCCCCGGGTGGAATTTTGAGTAGAGCCTCCTCACATTGTAGGCCGAAGAACTACGAAGTGGACGTAGACCTTTACAGTCGACTATTCTCTCACCATTCACAGCACTTCCTTAACATTTTTCCCAACTTTTCTTGCTTGTCTCAACTTCCTGCTCCCGGAGAAATTTCTGTGATCCAGGCACTGGGCTGCCTGACTGATAGCTGTCTTAATGTGTTAATGAACTTTGCAAGGTCAGTCCACTTTGGTCTGCCAGCTTGTTTCTCTTGAGGAGAAGCAGCTTCCTGTTCTGAGGGCCTGAGATGCCACTTCCCTTCTGTTGAAGTGCAGGAGAGGTCAGGGCAGACCTTAGGAAGTTTTCCATTTAGAGGCCCGGGCAAGCTTGGATTGCCTGGCTCCTGGACTAGTTGAGGCCTAGAGAAGGCCAAGATTGGGGGATGAAGGCAAGAAGGGATCTTGAGGGTTGGAAGCAGCAGGTTTACGTGAAGTTGTGGCATGTTATAACAGAACTCTTTAATTTCATATTTAGGACTTGAACTCTGACCATCTACTTGTTCTAAGGAGTTAGAGTGGTATTATAATGTATGGATGTTTTTTGTTGACAGAAACATTTTTCTTTCTTTCTTCCCCTTCCCTCCCCTTTTCCCTTTCCTCTTCTCCTTCCTCCCATCCTTCCTCCTCCCTTCTTTCCTTCCTTCCTTTTTGCAGTGTTCAGGACAGAGTCTTAGTCCTGACTGCCATCTGTGTAGCTTAGACTGACCTTGAACTCCTGCTCCTCTTGTCTCTACCTCCCAAATGCAGAGATTATAGGTGTGTACCCCAACACCCAGCTTGATGGGAGAGTTTTAAATAAATCCTGAATCGAGTCACATTTGAGCAATTATGCTCTTTGCTGAAATGAGCCTTAACTCTACATGCTACAATAATTATATAGCACCAAACTCAGTTGAAATGGTTGCATGCAAATGATTTAATTGGAATATTGGATTATTGTGTAGCAGGGATACCTTTTAAAAGCACAGGAGCCCAGCTCCTTACTTGGCTCTTTATCCCCAAGGCTGTAACTAATAGACACATGACAAAGGGATCGAGCCAACAGTACTTGTGATTTTCCTTGCCCAAATCTTGTTTCCAGAAGGGAAAATTTCCCTTGTGTTATCCCTTTATACATCCCAGGTCTGCAGTGGTGAATGAAGGCCTTGTAAGTCCCTTTCCAGTTAGTAAGTAGTACAAACATGGCTCTCTGGCTCCTGGAGGAGGCCAAGATTGGGACTCTTAGGTTTTGAAGCCCAGGGTTCCTATAGTTCATACTGATTAGAGAGACTACCATCTCATGGAATAAAAGTATCTGGATCCAACTTAACTTCAAAAGGCTTGCAATTTAGAATCAAATACCGCACTGCTGTGGTTTTAGACATCACAATACACCCATGTTTAGGGTAGGTGTGGTTATCACCCATTCAGTAGATGAGAACCTGGAAGCCCAATGGATAAGAAGGCTTTGGGACCTGTTCCTGTTGCCAACTGCTAGGTGACATCATTCCAGCTTTCTGAACAGGCTGTGGGGCCACACATTCCATCCTGCTGGGACACTAATTACCCAAGGGGGGACACAGAACTAGAAGATTAAAATGAGTGTCAGTGGCAAGGTGTAGAGTCAGTGAGAATTTGGCAGTGCGGGAAGACACTTGGCATTTCATTCCTTTATGAAATGTCTCTGCTCTGCGTTTTCAAACTCCATACATACAAATGCGTGACACGTGAATTTGTGTGGAAAAGCTGTTATCCACAACAGCATTGTCCATACCATGTACAGCTGTGGCCACGCACAGCTATGTAAGTTTAAAGTATGTCAGTTAAAATGCAATAACATTTTAACATTCCAGTTCTTAGCAAAGTTGTAAGTGCTGAGTAGTTGCACGTAGAGTTACATCATTCCTTCTTGGCAAGTTTGACCAGACAGCAGCAGGCCAGGCTAGCTGTTCTCTAAAGGTTCAAGTCCCTGTTCCTCCTGATCACATGAAAACAGAATAATGTTGAACCAGGTGAAATGTCCATTTTGTCTGCCAAAATAGACTGCTGATAGCAGTTTGCATACTTAGCTCATTAAACTGTCACCTTTAGGAAACATTAGTCTTGGGGGCTGGAGAGTTGGCTCGGTGGTTTAGAGCTTTTGCTGTTCCTACTAAGGACTCAGTTTTGGTTCCCAGCATCAACATGGTGAATCATAATTGCTTGTTTCTCCAGCTCCAGGGGATCTGACATCTAATTCTGGTCTCTGTGGACACTAGACATGTACATGATGCACATACATACATGCAGGCACTCATACATAAAATAAAAATAAATCTTAAAACAGAAAACCCAGTCTCAACTGTGCATATGAGGAAAAAGGGGTAGGGAGGGAGAGAGGCACTTTTACCCAAAACTAACAGCATGAGGATGGCCGGATGTACCAAACACAGAAAAAATAAGAAGGCAGTAGATGGAAAGTATGCAGCTTGTAAGGAAAGTAAATATTTAATTCTAAGTGAGAAAGCCTGGGCCATGGAGGCTGCTTAGCATTATAGAATATTAACTCGGGGACTTCCTAGGAGATTGTTTTTTTAGGCAGACGGATTCTGAATGAGGCTCCTAAAACAGGCAAGCACACACCCCAGTTTAAAACCAGGCTCGCCTTCTGCTTTTCCTTTAGATGTTGGTAATACATATCTCTGAACTTTTCAAAATGAAAAGCAACTTTCTAAAGGATGCTATATAAGTGATATGTTTCCTGGTTGTTTAGGCAAGACTGGGATACCCTCCTGGTCCCCAGCACCTTCACATTCCAGGGTGCCAGGGTTTTCCTCCCTGGCTGGTGGAAGTTATTTCCTGAGCGCTGCAGGGACTAGGGGCAGGTCCTGTCATACTCTGTATGGCTTTGAAAGCTCACTGGGACTTAGGAAGACTTTTTGAATTCTTGGTTGTTCTCTTGTCAGTGCTTAGTAGACCGACGGAAAGCCCAAATTTAAAGGAAACCTCCAATGATGAGCAACTAGTGGTTCTCTTGCTGGTCAGAGAGGGTCCACTGAGATGATGCCGGAAGTCATCAGCTGTTTATAGTGACAGGGGGCATCATCAGAAGGTGGATTAAACAACTGTCTTGAACCCAAACCTTTAATTCTGTACCCTAAGCCTGTGCAGCCTGGGAGCACACAAGGCCTGTGTTAGTGTCTCCAAACTCTTAAGCCAGTGTGGATCTAGAACTTAGAACAAAAATGACATTTATTTGGCCAACCTCTGTACTAAACAACAAAACCAATCTTTTAATAATGGAGGGTTTTTTTTTTCTCATTAAAATTTAGGTTTTTAAGTCTTTCACAA